CAAATTGGTTTTAGAGTGGGCCAATTTCTTCCTTCCATTTACTACTCATGTTTTAAATAATTGTCCATTTTTCTTGTCATGAAAGCAAACTCTAATAAATCGAAGTTAGTAGTATTTTAAAAAAAAATTATGTATTTTTGATAAAATAAACAGTTAAATAAAATTATATATAAAAAAAATTTAATTGACATTAAATATCAAAATATTATTTGAAGTTACCTATAAAAATAAATATAACTAGTAGTTGCAAACTGACAGTTTAAAACATGGTATGTAGATCCATCTGTAGTTCGTACCCGACTCTGAATTGCAAGAACAAAATTGGGTAACGGTCACCATCTTCCATCTTGCCATAACCCTTTCCTACCTATAGCCTCAACCACCTCTATTAAAGAGCATGGACCCTTCTGAAGAATAACAACAACATCCACAGGTATGCAAAGAAATACACCATGGATCTGGCTAAATTTGCGCAATTACATATATATATATATACATATATATATTCTTATGGTGTTTGCATAATTATAAATGAATACGTGCCGCACATGGTGGCCTATTGACGACCCCCTTGCGAACGTGCGTAGGACTAATGAGACCTGGGATCAAATCCCAGGTCCCTTCCCCTTCCCCAGATAAAAAAAACATAAGTTTTTCACTGTTTAAAAAAAAAATTATAAATGAATACTTACTTTCAGACATTTTAGGGAAGAATAGAATTCAGTGCCTTAAACAACTAGAAACCTTGATTTTAGAGGTTAAAAGTAGCAAAATTATAGAATGAGAGATGGGAGGGAAAGGCCACAAGAAAATGATCAAGTGCCTGTTAATTAGGTACTGATGTAATCAGCTGAAATTTTACGACCAAGAGCAAATTTCACTTATCCCAATCTAGTTCGGGGTGAATGTACTTCCTTCCGCCAATGTGGTTAGAAGATATTCACCTAAACCTTAAATCACGAAAAAGTACTCTTTGACCCCTTATAATTTGAAAAAAAGACATTGATTAATATAATTTATAATTTAATATATTATATAATATATTTTTTAAAAAATTATTATTTTTAATTTAAATTTAAAGTCTAACAAATTTAATACTACAACTATGCATACAATGTAGAAATTAATTAATAGATTTAATTAGAGAAGATAAATGCACATTTTTAACATCACATGTAGTAATATATATATATATATATATTTATAGCTTAAGAGGTTAAGAGTACATTTTTAAATTATATGAAATTAAAACTTACAAGATATGATCTCATTACAAGATATGATAACATATATCCATTTAATTTCTTCTATGCATTGAACTGAAACTATAAAACAAGAAAATAAATGCTAGAGCTGCATTAATTAAAAAGGAAAGACGCAACCATTTTTTGCAAGGCCCCCTGTGGGACTGGAACCATTCAATTAATTAGTATGCAAAATCTGGTTGTAGTGTCTAGCTATAAAGCTCGACTCAACTGTCCAGGAAAACAAGCCCGAACAACTAACCATTAGCTAAAAGGAAAGAAAAAAACTCAGCAACCATCCTTTGCCCCCAAATCTCTGGCCTTGTCATGACCATGAGATTACACTTCCTCATACTCTCCTTCTTCCTAATCCGTGGCATAGCTGCCCCATCTCCAAGAAAATATGAGCACATTTTTAACTTTGGTGACTCCCTTAGTGACACCGGTAATTTTCTTCTCTCCGGTGCCCTTGCATTCCCAGTGATCGGAAAGCTTCCTTACGGTGAAACCTTCTTCAGCCACTCCACAGGACGGTGCTCCGATGGACGCTTGGTGATTGATTTTATAGGTACCTTCATTTAATTTTAGAATATGGTACTATTTATCTAGGATGTTAAGACACCATTCTTATTTAAACTAGGTTTCATATTTAATTTTTGTGTATTTGTGTGTGACTTAATGTTGATGTTAAAATTCCAGCCGAGGCATTTAGTCTGCCGCTTTTGCCGCCCTATTTAGCACTTACCAAAGGCCAGAGTTTTCAACATGGAGTGAACTTTGCTGTGGCCGGAGCCACCGCACTCAATTCAGAGTTCTTTCATGAACAAAAAATCGGGGCAATTCTTTGGACAAATGATTCCTTGAGCGTTCAGCTTGGTTGGTTCAGGAAGCTCAAGTCCACCCTTTGCACCACCAAACAAGGTGATCAATATATATAACTCATGTATATAATTAAGTTAGCCTATTTTCAGAGCAGCTTCTCTGCTCTAGAAGCAGGAGGGCTAGCTAGTGCAACGTGATTCTCTTATACTTTACCTTAATTTGTCACAGATTGTGATGAATTCTTCAAGAAATCACTTTTTGTGGTTGGAGAAATCGGTGGAAATGACTATAATTACCCCTTTTTCATCGGTGGAAGCATTGAACTGCTCAACTCTATGGTGCCTCTTGTTGTTGGGGAAATTATCAACACGACCAGTGTAAGATTCTTTCTTTTACTCTGGTCTGATTAAATTCTCATAAATGTTATAAACCAGAAATGAATGCTAGATTTTTCTTTCTTAATTTGGGGGACCAAATTTACACTGGAAAATTTAAATATTAGAGACATAAGTCAAACTTTGTTTAAATTTATGGGTGATCCTTAGATGTTCTCATCTGTATAGAAAAAGATTTTTCTGGAGCAAGACCCAGAATCCCCCCTGTTTGACTATTTTTTTTAGAACTTTGACCATTGATGACTCTATGGGTAAATTTTGGGTAGGCATTGATAGAAGAAGGGGCGGTGGAGCTGATGGTGCCCGGGAACTTCCCAATTGGTTGCTCCGCCGTGTACCTGACCTTATTTCAGAGCCCTAACAAGGCAGATTATGATCCCCACGGTTGTTTGAAGGCGTACAATGCTTTCGCAACGTATCATAACAATCAGCTCAAGAAGGACCTAGAGATGCTGAGGAAGAAGTACCCCCACACGAAAATCGTTTATGCTGATTACTACAGCGCCGCATTGCGTTTACTTCATACCCCAATGCATCACGGTGAGTTAATTATTTTCAAATGTTTTGGACCGTGCAGGATAATAAATATCATTAAATGAGTGGTGTGCGACTTTGCCGTCAAACGGTTTGTGTTTGGTAATTTGAATCGCAAAACAAAGAAATTCAAATGGTATTTAGATAGTAAAGAGTTTTGAAAGTTGTCGATTAACTTGGTTAAACTCTATTCGGTATTATATAGGATTCTATGGAGGGACTCTACAAGCTTGTTGCGGAGGGGGTGGACCATACAATTTTAATTTCTCGGCAAGATGCGGTCATACTGGATCCGTAGCATGTGAAAATCCATCTGCTTATTTAAACTGGGATGGAATTCACCTAACAGAGGCAGCTTATCATTATATTGCCATGGGTTTGATCAATGGAACTTTTACTTCACCGCCTCTCATGTCCCCTGCCCTGGGAGACAAATAAAACCTTGAGCTGTATTTGTGATGTTTAGTTAGCTACCAGTGGTCATTAATAAACCAAACTAGAATTGACTAAAATTTCCATCTTCTAGCTTGTTGTACTTTATATTTTTAATATAAATAAAAATTTTATTTAATTTTACTGTTAAAACTAATTGATAATTAATAAAATAATTAATATTTATTATTTAATATATTAAAATTAATTTACAAACTAATATTTGTATATATTATAATTAACTATTTAAAAAATATTATAAACTAATAAAATATCAATCTAATTAAATAAAATTTGTGTGGTAATAACAAAATGTTGTATGGCCATAACTACATCTATACTTGAGCTGCTGAACATGTAGAAATTTATAATATTGGGTTTGGGTTTGGCAAAGGATCAAGATGATAAGAGTATCCATAAATGGGATTTTGTTAACCAGTTAGATAGTAAGTCAAGGTCAAATTTATGCAGTCCGAACTAATTTTTCTTTCACGGTTTGGTCAAAGGCACACGAATGATGCCATAAGGAATTTAATGCTACATTTGATACCATGCAGTATTATCATTTATCTGATTCCAACTATCATTCAATAGTATAGTCAATAACAGGATGGCTTTTGATGACAATGGACCAATTCTGGCATTTGTAAAACGCTCTGAAGAATAAAGAAAAATTAGAAATGAAGAAAGGATAGGGTGACGATAATATTTAATTCAGACAAAGCAAATTAGACTTTAGGAATCCCAAATGGGACCAAAGGCTGGAATTCCTGATGCCTTGCATGCATTCACAACATCTCGGCTTCCTTCAGGATTGCTTGTAACAATGACCACTTCAGCTTCCCACTTCTTGGCAGCTTCTACGCTCATTTCAGACACATTAGGCCGACCAAACAGGGCGGTGTCATGGACAATTACCTTGTCCTTAGGATGTCGGCTCACCATCTCCTCGATTTCTTTCCCAAAGTTCTGCTTAATTTCCTTAGCCACCCAGAGCAGGCATACACTAGCCCTACATGGCTGCAAGAGGAAAGACAAGAACACACAAATTCCAGACCC